ATCCCTTCCCGTTTCTTTATAATACTAATAAATATGTGGGAGTCTACTATGGAAGGAGTATCATGCTGGCTGTGGTGAGGTTAAATTTGGTTAGTGGGAAGAGAAGGTCTACAGCATTGATACATAATTAGAATAGAAAAATACTCAAGGAAGAGACATTGTAGGCACAAGAGTTATATACTGAGCAGAGGCTTTTGATGAATTTTTAAAGTCTTGTAAAAGAAAAGAAAACTCATTGTTATGCTGAAAAATAAAATGCAGGTTTATGATGTTGGCGTAATAATCTTCCTGGGAGTAAAAGAATTTATGATTCTAGTAAACTGGGAAGTTGAGGCAAAAAAAATTACTTCCAAACCTTACAGGTTTTGGTGTCATTAAAAATACAATATTTGTAAAGCAGATATAAAATACTTGGTATGTGAGTGGATCAAAAAGGGGCTAACAAAGCAATTATAGCTGGACTGGAGGATTTGAAAGGAGGAAGAGAGAGTTCTTTATAAAGCCTGAAAATAAAAAAAAAAAAAGGAAGTCAAGTGTAAGGGAAATCAGATATTATTTTTTTCCTGGTCTCTTGCCAAACACTCTATTGAAGAGGTGAACCTTTATTCCAGTAAAGAAAGTTTTCTTGCCAAAAATGTGGAGGTGGCTACTTTGTTCCCAGCCAAGCTGAGAATGAATTATGAAAATAAAACCTAAATCTACTGGGACACTCACTCTGTTGCAACATGTTGAAAGTGACTTAATTCAGGAAGATCTGGATTCTAGCTCAGGCTCAGAGGGAACTTGAGGACTTTATGGTTTCCTTTTTTTCTATCGAGTTTTACAGCCCACATTTGTAGTAAAATAATGTTGTTTGAAGTTTGTATGTTTCATGGGAGTGGTGCCTTGAAGAAGTTATTTCAGTTAAATGGCACCAGATGGAGTGTTTAGTTTGTGACAGGATTCCACTGTTTAGTTTGAAATTATGTTCTTTATTTGATGGCTTTATGGCATCAACAGCTATTCTAATGGCATATATTCTTGTTCTGCCCCATGGAAAAATTGGATAAAATGCATCTTGAATCGATTTTGGAGAAAAGAAAAGCTATGCTTAGATGTTAACATAGAGGATTTTCTTTACAATGAGGTTTCATTACTTCATATCAGAGTATGAATTAACTTTTTAATTCAATACTATGTCTCAGTTCTCTTTGGACTATATGAAAATCCCCAAAGACATCTATTTAGGACAGAAAAAATCCTCAAAAGCAACAAGAATAATTAATATTTAGTGTGAGAGCAAAAGATATTTCCATGCTAATAGTGGCAGTCATTTATTTTTAATTTTTACTTTTTTTATTTGTCATCTTCCTTTATGATGTTGTCATCTATATTTTAGAACCTCTACTTTACAGCAAAAATAAAAGCTCAAAGATGACAGGAAGGAGTTCCTTCATGATAACTGGCAGGGCAATGAGGTTGCTACTAATTGCATCCTTGACTTTTAATGACTCTTTATCCAAAAGTAATGGGTGAGAGAGAGAAGGCAGCTATGGAATGGAAATTACCAGGCAAAGAACAGAAATGAAAAATGTGTCACAAATTATTTTAGGAGAGAGAGTTCATTTCTATAAGGGGGCAGCCCTTCAGAAAAAGAAAGCACAGCAGTAAAATGACAATATGATTTTATCTTCCTTGAAAGAGGCTGGGCTCCTCAGTCCACAGACTCTTAGTAGTGGCAAAGACTCTAAAGTGGGAAGATAAACATGTGGGAGATTTTATCTTCCCTAGAAAAAACCTGAGAGAATTCAAGGACTTTTAGTAGTAAGAAAGACTCTGAGAAGGGGACAGAAATCAGGTTTCTTGTTTCATGTACATTAGCCAATACACTTTCTAAATACTTGTACTATGTAGTATTATAGGGGTTGTGCTGTAAAGAAAAGGGGAAAAAAGAAAGAAATGTTTTAAACTTTTAAAGGACCTAAAGTGGTTCATATGAAAACAAATCCAGTCACAGGTCATTGATACATCACCAGTGTATGAGCAGATAGAAAGTCTGACAGAAAAGCTGATGGAAAGGTTTAAGAAATCTCAAGTTCTGGTTCTGCCAGGACAGGGTTAATTTCTGCAGTAGCCAGGAGGGGCATAGCTAGGACCACGAGGTTATTCTATACCATCTCACATCATGGGCAGGGGATGGGGGGAATGGGGAAAGGGGTCCCTTCTGGTTGGGCTTTGTGATGAGTAGTTGGGTATTGTTGAGCTCTGTGTGGTGAACACTTGAGAGTGAATCATTTGCCTCTCTCCTACACCCTGTTATTAATATTGTTGCTGTTGCAGTTCATTACTTATTTAATTGCTGTTTCCAGTAAATTGTTCTTACCTCAACCTGTGATCTTTACCTTTCTGTGCAGCCAATTCTCCTCTTCATCCTGCTGCAGAGGGGAAGAGGAGGGTGAGGGGGGAGTGAGCGAGTGGCACATGGTTTGGAGTGTTTCAGTGGAAACACTGAATTGGGAAATACCATTCCTATACTACAACATCTCATCACTCACTTTGGGATCTAGGAGAGTTAGATTATAGAACAGTTCATCTCGAGTATGGGTACATATAGCAAGAATATTTAGCTTCTCAGACACTTTGGAAATCTTTTGGTGACCCAGTCTGTCTCTGGGTAGTGTGCCTAAATCACTTTTAAAATTGAGAGAAGACATTCCTCAAAGTTTTACTCCGAGTCACATCTTTTAAAACCAAAAGGACTGTCTTGATTTGTAACCAGAAACACTTTGAGAGCAAGAGGAAATTCTGGAATACATATATTGTGCGAAAGCAGAACTCTACAGCATGAAAACCACAGACTCCTGCCAGAGCTCAGCTCAGGTTTCCAGATAATTTGAGGTGTGGCACACAGCAGAAAGTACAATTTATAGGAATTCCTTTATATAAATTTTAAATATATAGCTAAATTGTAGGAACAGTTAACTCATGTCTTCTCTTTTGGGAACAGAGATGTTAAAGAGACACTGTCGTGTTAGGCTTTTTTAACCCAATAAAATGGTTTGAAATATGTCCATTATTATTAACTGCTTATTTGTAACTTTCTCAGACAGAGAAAGTTTTAGCGTTCTATGAAGGACAAGACAAACCTGTAATTTTTGCACTGCTTTTCCCCACAGGTCTGTAAAAACTAAACAAAAAAAAAAAATCAACCAACCAGGAAACAAAAAAAACCCCCTAAAACCCACTAACAAGCGAATCAAAAAATCCTCCAAACAACAACTACAACAACCAAAAAGAACAAACCCTACATAAAAACCCAAGCTGATGAAAAACTCTGAAGTTCCAACAAATAAAACCCTTTGGTTTCAATAATCTCATCTGGGTAGTCATAGTTCTCAGCTTAAAGATATTTGAATTATTTGCTGCTCCACTTTCCAGCAATGTCTTGGCCTTTCATTTTACTTTTTTATTCAAAGAGATGGGTCTTTATAAAGCATAGAGGAACCTTATTCACTGAAATGTTACAACAAAGGATCTCTGGATATAATGAATAAGCAGTTGAAAAAATACCTACTCTTGAACCAGTGCTCATCCTAAGTGTTCATTGTACTTATCACATTTAACAACATGACTTGTGCAACATTCCTTGCCTCTACCATGCCCAGTTGTGGACACCATTTGCCCTCCAGCTCACAAATGCGCAAGCAATTTTCCTTTTCAATCACAGTCACACAGCATTTGTTTGAAAAGCCTAGTGAGACATAAATCTTTAGTAACCCACTCTGCACATTTGGAAGACCATTAGATCAATAATGCTTCTGGTTATGCTAGAGGAAAAAGAGTTTACTTTTCCTGAAAGAGTTATCTGCATGTGAGCATTATACTGACATGCACAGCTTTCTTTTTGAATGTTATTGAGACTGCTGCCACTATTTATTCTGCTTTTTATTTCTTTACTTTTGACAATCCCACTGTATTGCATATCGTAATCTTTTGGCTAGACCTGTATTCATGTGTCCTGTAGTGTTTTCATCTTTCTGTATCCTTGGTATCTTTGTGAAATATTCAAATTTGCATTTGATAAATGATTTTTCACTTTTTGTGCTGTAATGAAGACCTCAGAGAAGTTCTTTACTGCCAAGTCTATTACGCACTTGTATTAGCACTTATGCAATGATAGTTCATACCAAAATGTATATATTTCTATATATATAAACATTTATATCATGTGCATATGAACGAAAACAGTGTAAGTGGAACAAATAACACTGCTTACTCTTTACTATTTCATCTTTAAATAGCTCAGCTGTTTTCCCTTTTTTCTTATAAGTAATCACCTTTCCCATCTGAAACAAATTAACTCCTGGGGAGGATATGTTCTGAGAGCTTTCATATGGTCCTTGTTACCAGGGAAACTACTTCTTTTGTCAGTATGTGTTCTGAAGCTCACAGACAGTGTAGATTGCTTTGTAACATCAGATGACAAGAGACAGCAAGGGCCAACTAGTTTGCATGTGGTTTCTGAGCAAAAAAATAATTAGAGACTCTCACAACACCAGCCGACATTACTTATCCTGGACAGCTCTTCAAAACAGAGGTGTGCAAAATAGTGTGGTTTATCTATGTATTCAGCTTCCTGCAGGTTGAGGAAACAAATATTGTCCTGGCGGCAGGTAGTTGGGGGGGATGCAGTGCCGAGCGTCTGTTGGTGCTGGGGAGTCCTCTGCTGGGGACAGTGTGTCAGGCGAGTGCTGGACACTGCAGGGTCCAGGTTAAGATCCCGGGAATAAGCTGCTAGAGGAGACCACTTCCCTTTGAGGAGGTTCTTCTTTGGTAGGTGCATCTCATCTTGAAAGTGATTTGTAACATTTATTTCGTTTTTGTCACTACACTCTGTGTATTTTTCTCCAGTATTAAGCCTAAGGCTTCCAATTCCTAATGGAATACAGTATCCTAGAGCATATCTGTCTGATGAAAAATGTGAAGTTTTTTCAACACATGGTCTGCTTTTTTATTTTCAGCAAACAAAACCAACAGGTACAGCAAAGAAGTAACAAGGAAGTACAATGATTGTAAGTAGTAATAATTACTGCTGTTCCAAAAGTTTCTCTGGTTTACATTTTTAATCTGTAATGAGCTCAATGCCCACACTGAATTGAGGGAGGTATTGGAATTTAAAATGATTAGCAAATAGGATACAGAACTGAACCAATAATGAGAAATATCAATGCCATTAACAGCTTCAGAAATCTTAGCAAGGCTTCTATTTTCTAAAGTCTGTTAATAACAAGGCTTAATGTATGTCTTACGTCTTTATCAGTTTGCATTTTTGACCACATTAGTTTGTCTAGAATTTTATCCACAGAAGGTGGTTTGTTTTAGAAGCAAAGAAAGAATAGATTAATGGAACTAGAGCATTGGGTTTGTTGGGGATTTTTGTTAGGGAAAAAGAAAGGGAAAAAAAATCATCTGGATAATCCATTTTCATTCTTTGGAAGGCTCAAATAATAAAATCAGGAACACTGGCTGCAGGAGTGGAAATATCATTTTAGCTTTAATCATAATCATTTTGCCATCATTACAATAGTCCTGACAAGTTGGAGTTCAGTCTTTCTTGAACTCCATGTGTGATGTTTCAGTAAGCAGCACCTAACCATGAATATTGGTTATGAAAACAGATCACAAAAAATGTAGCACATTGACAACAGACATCAAACAGTCTGCTTTGGAAAGCATCCATACTATTAATCTGAGCAGATCACCAGGTGATGGCTATTCAACAAGCTAAATACAATCAAGAATGATAAATCATAGACAACAGAGTGAAATAACTGAGATCATAAAAATGGAGGAACAAGTGATTAAAAACACTGCTCTTACTTACGTGGCACCAGATGCATTAAATACTAACAGGAAGGTAAAGTTCCTAACCCAGAAGCGTGCAGTCTAAACAGTTTTTATGCATATGGTAGAAGTTAGTCAAAGAAAGGCAACACAACTGCATAACAAATTTGTGAATACATTTGGTATAATGGGGCATAAAATATTTTCTTATTGCTTATGAGCAATACAAACACTTTTCTGTATCATGTTTATGTTTATCAAGGGTGCATTCAATGGGCCTGATGCAGCTAAAAATATGGATATGTTCTTACATCTCATAACTATATACACAAGAAGTTTTAGATAAACCCTCATTTGCAAGGGCTTTCAGTGGGGCATAAATATATGCTTAATTGTTTCGTGAAAATAGAATTATTTCACTTTCTGCTAAAATAACAGACCCATGATGAATAAAATACCAAACCTCTTCCCCTTGGGACACTGGGCTAAATCCAGAGTAAAAGAGTCTAGAGCATATGAGAAGCTCAGGTGGGCTATTCTTGGATTCTGCAAAACCTGTGTTTTCAGGTTGAATTTGTAGCTAGCAGGTCCTGCAGGAGTTCTGCAAAAGCAGAGCATTTAGACCCTGAGGGAAGAGAGAATGCTCTTCCCTATCTCTTTCAACAGTGGTCTCCCTTGTCAATTAAAAGGATGCCAGCTACTGTCAGCTAGAAGTCTGTCAAGCCCTTAGTGTAAGATGCCTGAAGGGAGGATGCAGATTAAAGCAGTGTAAGAAAAACGGATGTTAGAGCATGAACTAGAGATATTCTGAAATTCAAAGAGGTTGTTCTGCCTTAATGTGCTTAATTACAGAATTCCTTGTTGCTGTCATTAAAATTGAACCCTGCTGTTAGCTCATTCATCTATGCTCCAATTTCCATTAAAAAATTTCAGTTCTCTTAGGGGTGGTAGGACCACCTAGATTTGACAATTCCTGAGATGTTACATCAATAGGGGAAAATATATTCTCTTTACAATTCTAAACTATTCAGTGGTAAGCGTAAAAAGGAAGTCCAGTGCTTAAATTCCAGGACTAGGGATTAGATGATCTAGATTTTATTACATTAGATGGATTTGTGATGAAAAACTAGCTCCCTTGAAAACCTTGAAAGTTTGGCTATTAACTTCAAAAGATCCACTATTTCTCCCTTGCTGTTAAAGTTGGAGTTAGTAATTCAGGTCAGCCTTTTGAAAAGGCCTCAGAACTACAGATCTTAAGAGAACACAGAGCATCCCAAATATGAAGCAAGCAGCACTAGTGAGCTCCTTTATGCAAATTCTGTATTCAGTTTTTCCTACTTGATTTTCCCATGCAGAAAATAAGAGAAAATATTTTTGGTTTTACAGACAAGTTTTACTTATTATATTAGATGATTAATCAAGCATAATAATAAGTAAAAAAAAAAAACCACTAAAAAAGAAAAGGCATTAAAACCGCGTGTGATGAGTCTTCTTGCATTTTGTCTCTTCCTGAGTTAGATCAAAAGTGTATTTTCAGTTTTCTACATAATCTTCCAGTTTTTAAATTTCATTTTGGGTTAGAATGAAAAAGGAAAGCATTTTGGTGAAATATATTCTCTCTAAAATATTCAAAAACTACACTGAAGACATCATTTCAGTAAAATTGAAACTGGTGGTTTCTTTCAGGGAATGAAAAAAAAACCAAAACAACCCAATTTTATTTTATTTTTTCTCGAATCTTGTTACAACAACGAGTTTTCACATTTTTCTGAAAATATTTTAGAACCATAGAGTCATGGAAATGTTTAGGTTGGAAAAGACGTCCAAGATCATCAAGTCCAACCATTAAACCAGCACTACTAAATCCACACTAAACCATGTCCCTAAGTGCCACATCTGCACATCTTTTAAATACCTCCAGGGATGATGACTCCACCGCTTCCCTGGGCATCCTGTTCCAATGCTTGACAACCATTTCCATGAAGAAATGTTTCCTAATGTCAAATCTAGACCTTCCCTGACCTTCCCTGAGCCCCTTTTTCTTCAAACTGAACAACTCCAGCTCCCTCAACTGCTCGTCATAAGGCTTGTGCTCCAGATCTCTCACCAGCTCCGTTGACCTCTGGACATGCTCCAGTGCCATGTCTTTCTTGTAGTGAGAGGCCTAAAACTGAACACAGAATTTGAGGAGTGGCCTCATCTATGCCAAGTACAAGGGATGATCACTGCCCTGATCCTGCTGGCCACACTATTGCTGATCCAGGCCAGGATGCCACTGGCCTTCTTGGCCACCTGGGCACGCTGCTGGCTCGTGTTCAGCCAGCTGTTGACCAGCACACCCAGGTCTTTTTCTAATGGGCAGCTTCCTAGCCACTGATCCCCAGTCTGTGGCAGTACATGGAGTTGTTGTGATTTAAGTGCAGGACCAGGCACTTGGCCTTATTGGATCTCATACAAATGGCCTCAGCCCATGGACCCAACCGGTCCAGATCCGTCTTTAGAGCCTTCCTACCCACCAGCAGATCAACATACTCACCCAACCTAGTGTTATCTGCAAACTGACTGAGTGTGCCCTTGATCCCCTTGTCCGGATCATTCATAAAGATATTAAACAGGACTGGCCCCAGTACTGAGCCCTGGGGAACACCACTTGAGACCAGCCACCAACTGGTTGTTTCCAACCAAGCAGCATAGCCAGATGAAATAGTCCCAGCTACCTCAAGTCATAAGAAAAAGAAGAGAAAATCAAGGAAAATGTAAACCTAATATTCTAAATTTCCAGAAAACAGAGTAAAAATACTCAGGATTTATTTTTTGCTCCACAAATATTTAAGTTAAATATAGAGATGAAAAGGGCAAACTTGCTCCTACAGGAAGCCCAGGAACAATCTGAGCTTCTTTTTCAGGTTTTGAATGAAGTTATGTAAAGATGTCTTCAAATGTGGTTAAGGACAGGGGAGAGGAACACCCATTCCTGTGGAGTCACTCTATGGAAGGAGACCAAAGCTCCTGGAAGGCACTTGGGCAGATTTCTACATGCCAGAAGTTCTGAGTCATGTGTCTGAGACAGCGTGAACTTGAAGAGACTGGAAAAAAATGTTGCTAGAGCCACAGAACCACAAATATTTGTGTCCATTTAATATAAATATCAGTATAAAAGGCCTGGCACAAAAACCCAGCATTATATCACTGGCTAAGAACTGCATTGTCACAATGTGCTATTAACTTTTTCATAGACCCAGCTCAATAATTTTATCTAGAATTTTATTTGACTTTTTAAAGTTTTTATTGTCCCTTATAGAACATTCACTCAAATATTCTGAATAGTCTTTACTCTTAATTCCTGAATAGTTCTTTGGAGTTCTCCAGATACATCCTGCTTAAGTACATAGGCTGCAAAGTGAAACATTTAAAGGAACTCAGGAACCTAAATAACTATTCAGGAATGTAAATAACTGACTTACTCTTAAAGAGATGATTTTCATTGATATATATATAAAAACGTGATCAAGATTTCAAATGTTCTCTGTACTTAATACTGGGAGCAAGAATTAATAGATATACTAAACATTTCTGAATATCAATTAGGAACCTCGGTGGAAGGAAAGTACTTGTCTGCATTTGATTTGTACCTTGTGAGCCAATTACTATTGAAAATCAGCACATCAGATGTTTTTTAGTACTCTCCATATATCAGACTCGTCAGTACCTGTGACTGTGTATTGTAAATTACCTGTTTTGGTTAGCATTCCTACCAGCAAACCCACATCCTAGGGTACTGCTGCAGAGTGAGCACCATAAGGTTAGAAGAAGAGTCAAAGCAGAATAACTTGAAGATTCAGATATTTGTAGAAACATATGAGGGACTGTTTCCGCAGCTTGTTGTCACAAAAAAAAAAAAAACTAACTGGTTTTCAGTTGTAGGAACCAGATTGCTGAAAGAAAATCCAGACTCTTATTCTTCAGTTGAAGTATAACTTAAAATCATTTTGGCATGGACTGTCTGCAGAGATATGACATATTTGGATGGCAGTGCCCCTTGCACAATGGCCAGAGTGTTTTGCTGGGAGAAAAATACACAGAACATAGCAGGAGTCCAACTGAGCGCCGGTTAATGACAGTTTGAGACAGATATTCACAGAATTTATCAGATAACATAAAGAAAATGGATTGAAAATGAGGAATCTCCATACCATCAGAAATCTTGATTTTAACAGAATAATGAGTATCATTGTTAGTCTGTGTATTCACTCCAATACTTTCAGCCAAAGATCTAAGTCAGTGGTTAAAAAAGGGACAAAAAGGAAAGTTGATATGCAAAAAATTCACAAACATCCCCTTCAAAAAACCCCATCAAATGCAAAACCTTAGAGCAACAGTAGCTGACCCCCAGTATATTCAGTTGAAATCAGAACAGTCTGGGCTGTACCCTGTCTGCAGAAGAACAGCTTCCAGATCTGGCCTTCGGCCTGCTTGTCTGAACAAATTATAGCAATTTTCCCCCAATCTGCAGTAGGAGGTATGTTAGTAGAGCATAATAATGGATTTACAAAATTAGTTTAGCTAGGAAAAAAGTATTAGGGTGTTTGGAGTGATATTAGGGCCTTCAGGACTGCTATTTTACATGTAATCTAAAAGTACTTTCAGTAGTAAAATATGCCAGGACAGTATATAAAGTTATTATTCCAGAAATGACCTTGATCTATCTTTGTATCATCTCTGTACACCTCTGCACATCTCAGAAAAATCTGTGAGCTGGTCTGTCTCAGTAGATACAATGCTGAGTTTTTCAACTGATCTCAGCAAGTGTTAAGTTGGTATTGTACATGAACAAAGCAATATATTTGCTTCTTTGGTGTTTTAAAAGATATTGCAAAGGTTAGTCAAAAGAAGTTGGGAGAAGGTGAGTCACCTCATGCACTTCTGAAGACACCACTAACAAAAGAGAAATCATCAAAGAAAAACATAGTTATTTTTAATTGTCCCTTCTCTGTTTAAGTGACAGCTGTAACTTTTTTATTAACAACGCTAAATTTACCTGGAGGACAAAAAAAAAGGAAGAGGAGACCACCAGTTGTAAAACCGAGAATTATTCAAACAGGTCGTTTAGTTATAAAAATGTGTTCTAGAAATCTGTAAATTCATTCACAGTCAGATGCTATTAAAATTGTTCAAACTGCTAAAAATATAGGTGTGAACATTTTCAGCATTGACAAACCAAAAGAAAAATGTTTTCTTCACTTTTGTTTTCCTACCACATCTTTATTGAATCTGTCCCAAGCACAAAGTAGAATAGAAGAGAGCTTAGGAAGGGCTCTTATTTAACATTAAAATCTTTCACTTTATACCTTATTATTTCTTATAAGATGTGGCTTGTTTGTTAGCCCAAAACCACATTCTCCCTGTTATTTCTTTTATATCCTTCCAATAGTTAGAAATAATTTTTTAACATATTTACTGCTAGAAAATTTTTCTTTATTTTAAAAGAATGAACCACCCCCAAACTTTTTGTGGCATTGCATATTTTAAAAGTATTTCTATAAGTACTGTACTCCCATTACCTTAAGCCATCAAGTAGTACATTTGATCAACCCTAAAAGACTATCTTGTTACAGAGATCCTTTTCTCAGTGGATGCTGATATGATCCATTTCTCAGTAAAACACCTATTGTTTTACATAAGCTATTTGAGCACTGAACTTAATATAGTGTAGTAAATATTTCAGCATCTGAAGCTTTTCTATGAAAGACAGGATCCTAAGACATTTAAATCTGTGGGTATTTTCCAGTTAGAGTGAGAGCAAGATATCTACCCCAAGTCTATCCAGTAGTCATTTCTTCTTCATTAAACCATGAGAAGTTGACTGTGCTGGGCCCTGACAATTACATGACTTGCATTTCTTAACATGCAAACCTTACAATGTGGACCAAACCCTTTTTTTTTTCTTTTTTTGTGGCGCAAAAGATTGAAGTTACAAACAGAAAGAGTTTCTCTAAAAATGAACAGGCCTTATAAAACCTGTAGGGACAACCAAAAAGCATTACAGATCTTTTCCCCTGGGCCTTTGAACTTTTCCTGCAGCCAACTCCAACCAGCTTCACCTCTATTCTCACAGGTTCCTCAGACTCTCTGCTCTGACTGCGTCTCTCCTCACACACCTGATTGCATCATGGCAACATTTTGCTGGCCAACCTGCATGGTGCCAGCCCTGGTAATTTCCCAGGCAGGCTCCAGCAGGGCAGAAGTATACCAGTATCTCCCTTGGGGAGAGGCAGGAGGAAGCTCTAAAATCTTCTAATTTTCGGAAGACTGATTTGAAATTAATGGTTTTGGCAATTCAGTCCTTTTAAAAAAATGGCTGAAATTACTGAATGTATTCAGAAGCCCTCAGAAGAGATGACATATATCCACACAGATTTGATTCAGAGGTACAATGCTCCTATAAATCCCTTTTTCTTCCTCAACATCCCTAATAGTACCACAGGCTTAACAACCTTCACGTATGCTGCCAGGGAGGTCTGCTTAATAATGTCCTGTCTGAACAGGAGCTGCATGATGAGCTTATATAGTTTTCTGAATAACATATAGGGAATGTTACTGTAATTGTGGAGTTCATTGTAGAAAGATGTAGGTCTACAAACAATAATGATATTTAAACAACTTTCTCCAAACCTAATTTTCTAAACAGATCGTCTGTCTTCTGGTTGCTCTTATCAAGGAGAGTTGTTTCTGATCTCAACTGTACCAGCATATGTAATGCAGTACTTCCATGGGATTCAATGAATATGTAATAATTAATGAAAACAGAATCAGCCCTCTGTATTTTTATTGAACAGTATTTGAAAAAACATCATTAAATTACTTCTGTCAGGTAACTAAATTAAAGCTCAGGTTGGATCCTCTTTCACTCAAAGGCAAAATACCCTTCAAATTCACTGGGTGAATTTATGATTTCATCCATAATCCATACTTAATCAATTTCACCAAATGCTATTCAACCAGTAAGTCATGTCAGAAAACACCAAGTAATTGATTCTCTAGACAAGGCTTAATGAAAAGAAGAAAACAGGTTAGAGAATTTACAATAATCTTTTCAATATTTGAAACTTAGTAAAGACTGGCACTATTAAATTTTCAATATAGTGAAATGCTGAATGTAATGCACCTGTCACTAAAAGCTCCAGATTTACACCTGCGGATACATTTCACTGTATAAATGTACGGCAGCCTGGTAAAACTGAAGAGTTGTAATTTATTTGCATCAGCCACAGTGAAGTATCTGAGGGAGATTTCAGGCTAAATGAGATATATGTCAGTTGGGTCAACAGTTTTCCCTCAATTTCTTTAGACACAACTTTGGATGGTGGTATAGTGACAGCAGAGAGAGGCTGGGTTTTGTTGTACAGTGATAAGCTCAGGCTATTTGCTCTGTGTGCATGAATAATTGGCCAGCTGAATGAGAACATTTTGAGTTCTGTTGATGGGCTTCCTTACTGGCTTGTAGTCCCTTCTTCATTGCTGCACTGCTCCATGTGAGCTTTCCCATTTTCTCTTCCAGTTGAGTTTTCCTCAATATGAAAATGCATCCTCATATTCTGCATGAAGCCAGACAACCGTGTGGCTGAAGGTGGTGAACACATCCATTCCAAGAGCGTTTCATGCAGTTTTTGAAGCAGATTTCGTAGAGATGAAGATGATGCTGGTTTCCTGGGGACACAACCAGCACGTGGCGGTCCACCCAAGGGTCCCACTGCAGCCCAACGAATACCACTAGGTGTCAGCGCAGTGCCATGGATTGCAAATACATTAAATGACGCAGCGACCGCTGTGTAATTAGCAAAAATAGTTTAAAATGTGTTTCTCTTTCCTTTCTTATGCTTTTAAACCAGTTTAGTATTTTTGTTTTTTTTTTTTTCCCTTTTATTCCCTTTTTAATTTTCAGAATTTGGTAGTCAAACAACCTGGCAACCATGACACTTTATGCTAGCTATGATGTCGAGCAAATGACATGTTAACACAGCTCAGTCTTTTCTTTTACTCAAACTGAATTTTATTCCATAAAACTTTAAGCATCAAGCACGAAGCAGAAGAGTTAATCAGAGATGACAATCCTACTTGAACATATTTCCTGAAAAATATAGGTATATGCTATTCTTTTTTGATTTGGTGCAATAATCTGTTATCTTTTATCATGCATGTTACACTGATTTCATGCATGAGTGGAAAGGATGGATGATTTATTAGGAGAGCCTTATTCATCCTGCCGAGCAGACGTGGGTTTGAAATTGATATGTACTTAAAGAAATACAGTATCTCAGGTCACAGTTATGAAAATACATTTCTGGTTGCAGCTTTATTAAAGGTTTTCTTTTAAGAAAATATAGGCAAAAGAAGTCTTAGCTGTTGCTCATCTTTACATTCCACATAGCAGATTATACTAATGAATGATTTAACCAGAATAATTTTCTACAGCTTCTATTCCTGCCTTTGTATTGATTTCCATTATTCATCCATAATTACAGTACAGAGTGCTATAAAATGAGATTTGATTTTGAAACATTGCTTGTAACTGGCAACCCTTCAAAGTTTGAAAAACCAAGGCATCAATTCAATTACATCAGTCTGTCACCAAATATTTTTTTGGAAATATTTTTCATAGGACTTAAAAAACCATTAAAATATGATTAAATTGTGAGGCCTGTAGTTCTGCTCTAATTAACATCTCCTAGCAGTAATGATAAATCACCATTCAATGTAGTGGTGAGGATATTTCTAAATTGTAAACCCTGAGTAATTTGAATGTTGCTGCCAAGATACAGCCACCCATATTAATGGAAAGCTGATTAATGACACTTTCTCTGAATAGAGTGCTGAAAGTAGGAGCAAAACCTACTTTTGAGGAGTTAATGAGATGGCCTCTCTTCCTTCAGGAAAGTTTTGTGGTGCGGAAGTCAGAGGTTTTGTTTAGAGATTCTTCAAGTTATGGTGGTTTTTTACTTCTAAAGAGCCGGTCATTGGTAGATGTTAAGAGTTAATCTACTAAAATTCTATTTCTTCTTCTACTTCTTTTTTTTATAATGGAGGCTTCACAATGAACAGCAAGCTGACATGGAAAGGCTGGATGGTTCTTATGACCCATCCAACCTATACACTTAGATTTTTTTGTGGGTGTTTGGAAATTCACTGTCCTTGTGTCTACTGTTCTGAAATGCAGCCACTCAATGGAGTAGAAACTGCATTTGCACATCTTGCATACTTTCATTATTTTACATTTACACCATGAAAGATTGTTAATGTTTTTTAAAGGTAGATGGAAATCTTGTTTGTTTCCACTAAATCAAAACATAAGATATTTTCACTTAAAAAATGGAATTTAAAAATGAGTATCACCAGTCCAGCTGTTCCCAACACGCAAAGATATGGAATAAAAGCTTTAGTTCACTGAAATAAAGAATTCCTTTGATATGCTCTGCACTGATTGTTACCATTTATGAAAGAGACCTTGTGGTTATAACAGATATTTCTAGGAAAACATCAGTTCGGTGCTCAGAAGCTGTGAAGAAGCAAATCAAGTGTTGCAAATTGTTAGAGAAGAAATAGACAATAAAGCAGAGAACATTATTGAAACATTTTACAAATCCATGGGGAACTCACATCTTGAATAACAGGTATAATTCTAGTCTTCCCATTGGAAGAAAAATATAGTAGAACTGGAACAGGTACAGAAAAAAAAGAAAATGATGATCAAAATTATATAATATTTTTCATAAGAAGGGTCAACAAGCATACTTCAGCACAGTGCATTCAAATTCAGTTCATTGCAAACCAAGCCACAGACGTTTTAATAACTGTGGCCAGGTCAGATTCTGCCAGGAGAAGGTCCAATCTCATGGCTGGTCATAAATGAAAGAAGACTTTTATGATGTTTTTTGTCATATGGTGTCCAGAACCATGCTGAGGCTACCTGCCATCTTAAGAAATGAGAGCAGCTGTCCCTCAAGCAAAAATTTTATTACAGTGTGGTTACTTGTCCAAAATGTTTTCCTATGCCTATCAATTTGCTCTTTTTGGGCCCAAGTTTGGTTCTTCCAGCTGTTCATAGTCATAGCTCTAATTCCTCTTAGGTTCCAGCCAGAGAGGGGTAGTTTATTGCAATTTGTTTTATTGGTTGACAATGAGTAGAAAATAAGTCTACTGAATGAGAAAGTTATACAGAGCTGAATGTCACAATGTATCCCTAGCATTTCTACCTACTGAGTATGACAGATTCTCAAAAGAAATTGTACAGGTATGTTACACGGAATGAGGAGTGAGGGAGTTTGTAGCTTTTCCAGTCCAGCACTGTGGAACTCATTCCCCTCTGTAAAACTGACAGACAGCAGTGAGGTTTAGATTTTTAAGATTTTTGTCATCAACATCTTCTTTCTCATGTCCTATAGCGTAGCCTTATTTGACTGTGAATCCTTTAGGTTTTACTGGTCCCTAAATATTATGACATATGATATAATTAAATAAGGATAGGATATTGTAAATTTTTTTTACAACTTTCATGATAAACAACCTAACGATAGTTTCTGAGGCTGCTTTTTCTCTGTCTACCTTTCAGAAGAATCAGCTTCAGACAAGTAGAACAACTACAAATCCTTAAATTGCTATAAACTTATTTCCTTGGGTTACGTTTACCTCCCTTGGTGCACCAAAAGTGCTGAACTCAAGTGAGTTTTTAATTGTGCAGGGTTAATAACCAGCAGTTCAGTGTGACTCTCATAATACTGCTGGCTCTAAAGGTGTGTAAAATGACCTATTGATTTCCTCGGCATTTTGTGGCTTGTTCTGATATGAGCACAGCTTTTACTGAAGTCATCTTGGTGCACATCTTGGTGCAATGACAAACAGTCAATATACTTTGCCAGTGCTCTGTTATTGAAACCTTTTACCCAGTGGTTAGATAGTATTGCCTGGAAAGGTACTGATTGAGCCATGTTGCTGGTTTATACTGAGGACCTTTCAAGCAGCTCCTGGCTCAGCTGTGAACGCTTCAGTTCGTGCAGTATTCTTTATTTGCTTAGCGTTGTTCTTCCCCTGAAATTATGCATTAAATATAAATCTGCATCCTGATACATCACAAAGACAATGCAGTACTTCTAGCAGTCTGCAACCCAGAGAGGTGATGTAATGTTTTTGGAGTGTCTCAACTCCCTGGAGCGAGACAGGTTGGAATTCCTCCCCATGTCAAAGATCTGTCCCCCTCTGAGATATAAACACAGTTTAGCTTAGCCTAAATCTTGTGGCAAGCAGTGCTGCGCATGCTGGCAGAACTCCTTTCTATCCTTTAAGGAGTAATAAGTGAATAGCTCCCCAGAATCTCAAAGGCAACTTATGTGCAGTCATCTCATGATGTGAGAAAGCATACACCGCTGGTTTGCCCTTTTGCAGAGCTTAGCTTTGCTGCCCCAACAGGAGACCATTGTGTGAAGGGCAGTCTCTTTTCCCTCACACTTTCCTTGAATCTGGACAAACCTCTTTATGACTTAATCTTTACCAGTGCCAGATGGGGCTCGTCTCTGTGCTGACTCAGCTTTGTCTTACCTCACCTCCTTCACTGCCCATTCCCCTCAACCTGCATCTATCAGGAACTGTGCACCCTTCCCATTTCCTTTCTTTGATATAAATGATAGGGAGTGCCATTTCAATCCTACACAGTACCCATGCCAAAACTTGGTAACACTAAACTTTTTTGTCCCTACTGTGCAAGTGGTCTAATTGTACAGGAGATCCGGGAGCTGCTTGGGAGGTGAGTGTCAAAGACAAGGTGACACCGGGTCTCCTGTCTCCTTCATCTGTTAGCATATGAAATCCCCTGCAACCCCTCTGCCCTTCAGTCATTAACCTCGCACACAGAAAAACTCTATTCTTACCTCTTATAGAGGGGAGAGATGAGAGGAGAGAGGGAAAAGGATGAGTAAATACAGCTTATCTTCAATCCCTTATTCTCTGACATCAAACATGTTGTCCTGTCTCTGAGAATCAGAAAGCAGAGGTGCTGAGCAGTGGCATGCAGAGCTAAACCTGTCTGTGTAGAGACCTTCAGGGCAGCAACCAGCACTGGCATTACCAATTCTGCGATAGAAATGCAGGCATAGTTTTATATTTTGCATCACACCACTAGAAAATCATTTGTGTATTTTGTATTGTTACTCCAAGGCAGAAGTCCTGCAAGGACTGGAGGAGACTTCAGCTTTTACTCTATTTCCTTTCATTGTTGAATAAGACAATTAGCAGTGGTTGAAAGTAAGGCTGCAAGACCACCTCAGCCCACTATCCCATCACAAAACCAGCCATGTTTGTATTATTCCATATATTTTCCCATAAACTCTTCAAGCATGAAGTACCAAAATTCTTTCCCATGTCTGAAAGCAGTAAAACCTTCAGGTAGAAATCCAATCAAATGCTCTTTCAGAGAAGCATGTAAGAATTGATTCCTCCTTTAGGTTACCTCTTAAATGAAAGCTTACTGCAGAAGAATAAAAAGTTCCCAAGGAGATTCCACAGAGCCATTAGTGAGTATAAGTCTGAGCTTCTTACCATTAAGGACAGTAAGGGAAGTAAGGAAACAATAAGGAAAATTAGCATAAATTGCTTGGCATTGTGAAGTCAATTAAAGAGTATTAAAACTACACAGATGCATGCACTGGGGAGTAGACTGTCCTTAGACCACTCCAGCTTCTAGTTGCTTCACACTTGAATACATCCCCATGATATTTACGTTGTTTAAGCACGTGCATACGGAAGTAAGATCCTTAGCTTAATCATCTTAATTTTCCTGAACAAT